ATAGGAGGAGAACTGCCAACTGAGAGCAGGACCCAACAAGCTCCAGGGAGCCTGAGGGGGACTGGAGAAGAACTGCTGATTCTATAGCGATGAGAGGAAAGCAGGATGGCTCAGAAGCAGCCCCTCACCCCAAGATTCCAGCCCCACCCCCCACCTGCCAGCCCCATCTCCTACCTGGGGATTTGGGCTGAGCAGATTGAACCAGAGAATTGAGGCCCAGGCAATTGAGAGTTGGTTCATGTTAGAAATAATCACCACAGGGAGGGTGTCTGTCTGTGGAGAAGACCCGAGTCACACAGGAGGGATGTGATGTTTCTAGCTACAGACATCTGGTAAGGTAAGCGGGTGAAAGCCCACCCCATGGGACCTTAGTTTATCCCTTTCTTATGCCTTTTTCCAATCTGCTTCGTCTCTCTGGCTGTCCCTCACTCACTCACTTTCAGCTGCAGCTTCAGACCCTGGTAGACGTATTTGACTGTGAAGGTAATGATGTGCAATTCCTCTGTCACAGCCAGCAGCCCCTGCAATAGCCAAAGACACAGTGATCAGAAGGCCCTTTGACAAGTTCCTTCTGCCCCCCAATCCTGTCCCAACCTTACTTTATTGCCGCCCTTTCCTGAGCCACCTGAACGTTGCTCCACCAGCATCTGCGAATTGAGGAAAAAGAGAGAGTGCTAGAATAGGGACCCTGAAGTGCCTGGAACCCCAGTTTTGCCTCAAGACGTAGGAACTGCCCCCAGACCTTTTTCCTTTGGACTAAAAGCTTAAGTTACTGACACTTCTTACCAAGAAGCCAAAGTCCCAAATCAAACCATCACTCTGCCCTTTCTCTGGGGTCAAAGTTTTCTGGTTTGAGGTTAGAATGTTGAACTTCCGGAAGCTGTTCCAGGAGGAAGAATACATATGAAGGAAAAGAGCAGACTTTTTTAAAAAATTCAGGAGGAAAATAAAAGTTTCACTTCATTTCAGACATACCCTTTTCCTTTTGTCCATGTACCACCCAAGTCTCCCTCCTCATTTGTGCTCCCACCAGGGCTGCCAAATGTGGTTGTGCAGGTCATGCATACAGTGCACAGATGTTTGCAGTGTCCTTGTGAGGCACTTACCCTTCAGGAGAATTGCTGAAAAGAAATAAAAAAAAAAATCATTGAGAAGTAAGAGTACAGAAGATAGGAATTTGCTCTGTGGGACCAGACAGACCTGGGTACAAACATACCTCTGTAGATTACTAGCTATGTGGCCTTGTAGAACAGACATAATCTCTCTGAACCTGTTTCCTTGTTCGTATGGTACACTGATAATACCTATCTCATGGAGTTGCTATGTAAATGGGGTTGCTGCATGTAAATGCTCAACCAAAGAGGAGTTATTTCTGTGAGGTTGAATGAAAGGGGGAAGAAGAGAGTCCTAAGACGTTATTGTAAAGAATGAGAACTTTCTTTACCCCACTAGCCCCCATCCTGGCCACCACTCCTTGATCTTACCCTTCACCTGTCTCAACTTACCTGTCGATGGAGACTTCCACTGTCAGTGACTCACTGCCTTCCTGGAGTCTCACCAGCAGCCTAGGGTGGGGAAGGAGATGGATGGGATAAAATGGACAATCTCAACCTCCCGGACAGGCAGATGTTTTAAAAAAGATAAAGGAAAAGAGTAGAAGAGGTAGATGAGTCAGAGAGAAATGAAGAAGAAGACAAGAATGAAAAGATCTATAAAACCAGAAAATATACAGTGTTAGGGCTAGAAAAAGGAAGCAGGAGCGAGTTCTGAAATGCCAACCTTGTTCGGACAGTAAACTTGCTCCCAGTCTTGAGGATAAGGGGTCGATGGGGAGTTTGGGGCATACAGGGCTGGGTTTCCACAATAAAGGCTCTGGGGAAAGAATTGTGGAGAGAATACATGGTTCAGTATCTGTAAGAATATCTTCCCTTGTTCCTTCCCTCCTTTTCTCCCTAGAGACCCTTCCATGGACTCCAGACCTGTGGAGCAGACTCTGAAGCAACTCTGTGACCTGGGCATTCTGCACATTCACCCCCTTGACCAGAGGGTCACCTTCATAGCTAATGTGTCTCAATTCATTCAGCTGCTTCAGCAGCTGCCTCAGATGAAACAGCAGCTTTGCTCCAGCTGTGAACCTGGGGATAGAATCCAGAGAGAAGGAATCCATGAGTTTCTTGGAGCTCCTATTCAGGGTCTGAGATCTCTTTAATGCAGAGTCAGAAACTACCTGGGACAAAAAAAAAAAAAAAGAATCCAGGAGGTATATGCCAGATTACTCAACATGATTCATAATCTAAGACATGAAAATGAAAATCATTTTCACTTACAAAACTGATTGAAAGCCAAGTGCCATGGCACAGGCCTGTAATCCCAGCAGTTCAGGAGGCTGAAGTGGGATGATCACAAGTTTAAGCCAGTCTCAGCAACCTTAGCAAGGCCCTAAGAAACTTAGTGAGGCCCTAAGAAATTTAGCGAGACTATGTCTCAAAATAAAATATTATAAAAAGGGTTGGGGATGTGGCTCAATGGTTAAATGCCCCTGGGTTCAAGCCCTGGTAACAAAAAAATCAAACAAACAACAACAACAACAACAACAAAAAACCTAATGAAACGTTTATTAACATAATAACAATTAACCTTCATATGATGCTTGCTATGTTTGATTTATATGAAGATCTTTATACACACTAATGCATTTAATCTTTATGACCACTCCACGATACTACTATTCCATTCCATGAGGTGGGTACTACTATTATCCCCATCTTACAATGATAAAACTGAAGCACAGAAAGGTTAAATGACTTGCTCAAGATTCTACAGCTCTAAGAGATAAAGGTTATATGTGATCCCAGGCAGTCTCACTTCTCACTGAAGAACCCATATCTTTTTTTTTTTTGCCATGCTGGGGATCCAACTCAGACATTATACATCCTAAGCAAGTTCTTTACTGCTGATAACAAAAAATCAAACAAACAAACAAACTAATGAAACGTTTATTAACATAATGACAAATCAGGGTAGTAAAGATAATAGGTCACTTTCCTTCCTTCCTATATTTGTTGGGTAATTAAAAAGGAAGGAGGGGGCTGGGGTTGTGGCTTAGTGGTAGAACACTTGCCTAGCACACGTGAGACACTGGGTTCAATCCTCAGCACCACATAAAAATTAAACAAACAAAATAAAGGTATCTTGTCCATTTATAACTACATATAAATAGGAAGGAGAGGGCTGGGGTTGTGACTCAGTGGTAGAGCGCTTGCCTAGCATGTGTGAGTCACTAGGTTCAATTCTCAGCACTGCATATAAATAAACAAAATAAAGTTCATTGACAACTAAAAAAATATTTTTTTTAAAAAAAAGGAAGGAGAAACCAAGTTGTGGATTAACCCAAGTCTGGGCTCTGGGTTCCCTGGATAGTGAGGACAAAGAATAGAGTACAGTTATAGTCTAAAAAGGGAGCTGAGATCATTTTGGGGAGCAGAGACTAGTAAGAAGAATATCTTTTGCTGTATACAGGGCATTACAACTTAGAAAATATAAGAAATGGCCAGGACTAGGGTTAAGGTGTATAAGATAATCAGGAGAAAATATATTTTCTCTCACCAGTTCTCCAGACGTTCCAACCCAACCTGGTCCAGCGGGGCTCCAATGCAGGCTTTTTGCTGTTGGGCTTTCCACTCATCCAACTTTGGCAGCAGTAGTTCAATTAGGGTAGTTAATCGGCCTACCACTGCTTTGGAGGTATCTAGCACCTCCTGGCAAAGAGATAATGTGAGTATGCAGCACATCTAACTTAGGATGAAGAGAAAAAAAGCCAAGGCTAAGGGTCTAGGGCTCCCCAAATCCCTTTATTTTCCCAGTTCCTTGCCACCCACTCCCTCTATCCCCTGCCTCCCACCTTTCTCCTTTTGTCCAGGTCATTGAGAGTTTCCTGAAGAAGCTGTAGCTCTTTGTTCTGATGGGGATCCGAAGAGGACGTCTTCCCTAAAGGGCCAGAGCAGAAGTCAGACCAGGAACTCCTTCGTCTCTCTTTCCCAGCCCAGATCTCAGAGTCAGAGAGGGGAAATTTTGGAGGAAAAAGGGGAAACGAAGAAAAAAAAAATTCAGGCACATGGGGGCCTTTGAGCAAATTCTGAATGGACCAAAGTCCATCCAATCTGCTAATGGAGTTTTCCATGCATTTGCTCCATTCCGTCCCTGCATTTCCACCTCAATTTTCACAGCACACCCTAGCATTTATAGCTTTGCAAGGCAGCAGGACTGCAATTAGTGGAATTGGCCAAAAGTGACTTGCTCACTGCAACTTTCCAATTCTGTGCTCCATCACCCTTTCCCTCCCAGCAGCCACCAGTCTTTCTCCCACCCCTCTAAGTGCTTTCTACCTTTTTTGTAAATAGTAAACCGGAAGTTGAAGATATCCTGCAGTTCTTTCAGTTGGTTGAGGGATTTCACCAGCTTCTGCAGAGGAGATGGGACCTCGATGAGGCTGCTTCTGAGGAAGGAATAAGGCTAAGCCCTGCCCACCTCAACTCATGCCACAATGACCAACCTCCATCATAACCCTTAAATCCTGGATGCGAGATTCAATCTCAGGCTGCTGGCTATCCACAGATGCTTCAAGGGCTGGCTTTCCTTGCTCCTGTAATAAAGAGGCTCTGAGCAAATTTTAACCCTGATTTTTATTTCTTAAATCCTTTCATCCCTAAAATAATTCCATAGGATGGGTGAGGTGGGGGGATCCTATTCTGAGACAAAACCCAGGAGTCCTTTCCATGGACCCCTTTCTATTCCACGACTTCCAAAATCACCATAAAATTGTTTTCACCACCTGAGCCCTCTGGGCTTGATTCAGAATTCTTTTTTCTTCCAGAAGTAGATTAAAGATCATCTCAGCCAATTGGGTGGAGCCCTGTGGAAAGTCCTAGAGTAGGAAAAGAGGGAGAATTGATCATATTCAATCATCTTCAATGACCAGCAACCCTAGATCCTCCCAACAATGTTCCTAGTATTTTTGCCTTCTTAAAAGTCCCCAGCCCTTTCTCTTTTCCACCCAAAACTCTAGCATTTTCCCAACACTATCACCTATACTTTGCCCATCTCTCTGCTAATGATCCCCAAGGTCCAGACTCTTTCCCCAGATCTGTTCTTCTCCATTTGCATCTTCAGGTTTGTATCCCAAACCTTACTCTACACTTCACTTGGATGCCAGTTCTATTCTTTTTATTCCCAACTCATCCCGGTACCATAATGTCCCTGTAGAATTTTCGCAAATTGTGCTGTAGCAACAAGCACTCAGGGTCCTGACTGCAGCGGCCAATCTCATAGTTCAGTTGCTCCAAGAAGTGTAAGTAGAGCAGGCTGGCCTTGGAATTATCATTGTCTAGTGCAGCTTCCTTCCTGGGGACCAGGAATGAAAAGGGTTAGAATCTCTGCAAGGTAGCTGCTGTCCTGAGGCCCTCCAATCCCTTCCAGGTTGTTTCCAGGATCCCCAGGGATCGGGAGAAAGGAATCACCTATCTTCTTCATCCACTCCACTCCCCTACTGCAGAAGCCCTCACCAGTTCTGGTCTTCAATCCAGACAGCCAAGTGCTGTCGAATGTCCACTGGCAGGAGGCTCTGTGAGTAGAGCTCATGCAGCTGGTCCTGAAATGGGCTATCAAGATTCTGCAGCATCTCCCATTGCGCCATTTGGGCTCTAAGTTGAAAGGATGAAGGTTCTCAATTGAATATTTTGCTGGTCTAAATTACCCATAGTCTTGTGATTGTTTATTACTACTAACTTAAAATGTTAAAATATATAAGTAAATTTAAAAAAAAAAGAAATATTAAGGTCTACGTTGACCCCACTCTGAATCTTGTTTCCTTCCCTTCATCTCCAGAAATGCTCTCTGGGGGCTGCGATTGTGGCTCAGCGGTAGAGCATTCGCCTCACACGTGCAAGACCCTGGGTTCTATCCTCAGCACCATATACAAAAATAAACAAGTCAAAGAAAGATGTTGTGTCCAACTACAACTAAAAAATAAATATTAAAAAAAATTTAAAAAAATGATCTCTGTTATAGTTCAGTGAATATTCTTCCAGGGAATATAATTCAATAGCTCCAATATGTGAGGTCTTTTTGTTATAATAGTAATTTTCAAACACACACATAAATACAATGACAGGATCATTCATGTATCCATCACCCAACTTTAACAAATAATAATGTTTCCACTATTTCATCGATCTTCCTGGATTAATTTATTTTAAACATATTTGTTTGTGTTTATATTCATTTAGGCTGGAGTAAATATCAGTGTTGGTCTTAAATATTTATGATCTCTACTGGCCATGAAGCTTTTTTAGGAACTGAAACCTTCTTAGAGGTAAGGAAAGTACATCCTACAAACTGTTCACCATCTAAGAAGGAGGAGTTCCATGCTAGAAGATGTCTAAATACTGTGCAAAGGGTCATTCAATTCCTAAGATTGTGATTTTTTCTTTTTCCCCGCAATGCTGGGGATTGAACCCAGGGCCTCATAGATGCTAGGCAAGTGCTCTATCAGAGCGATGTACATCTCCAACCCAGACTGTGACATTTTTAGGACCTCTTTCAATCTCTGATTCTCCATGTGGATTATCAGCTCTAAGATCCAGAAATTTCTCACAAAACTGTTTTTTGGTTAGGAGCTGTGATGCATACCTGTAACCCTAAAAGCTCAGAAGGCTTCTGAAGCAGAGGGATTCCAAGACAGCTTCACCAACTTGGCAAGGCCCTAAGCAACTTAGCAAGACCCTGTCTCAAAATAAAAAAATAAAATAAAATAAAAAAGGGCTGGGAATGTGGCTCAGTGGTTAAGTGCCCCTGGCTTCAATCTTTGGTACCAAAACAAAACAAAACAAAAAACATATATAGTTTAAAAGGATCAAGCACTAAGCTAGGATGTAGCTTAGTGGTAGAGCCCTTACCAAGCATATCTGAAGCCCTAGGTCCTGGGTTCCACCCCCAGCAACAGCAAATAAAAGGAAGATGAAGAAATCCAGCATTATAAAAAGGGTTAAAATTAAAAACAGGAGTTCCTGCCCAATCCTTCGCCTCCTCTGTTCCTATTTTCAGAGGGACAGCTCATGTTAATTCATCCTAGTAGAAAAGAATCCCCCCACATCACCCCCAATTTTTTTCTTTGCTCTGTATAAAGTCATGTGTCCTTTTTAGAACACAAATGTGCATGTTTGTTCTGTTCAGTTAGACTCAGGATGCAAAAAGAATATGTTTTAATTTCCTTAACAGACACCAGATGGCAGTGGGGAGAAGCATGCCCAGTATAGCCCGCTTGGTGACAGGCAAAAGACAGTTTTGTTTTATTTGGTACCACACAGGTCAACTTACACATTTTTACTTAACAAAGAGGATGATACATCATGTCTATCTTTAGACATTGCTTTTTGGTAAGGACAAAAAGTAATGCAGGACAGAGACAACAGCTTTGATTAAGACATCGAATCCATGTAACAATGCCAGGTTCCGGGCCTCTGAGGCTGCAGGGGAGTTCTGGGAGGGGGAGGTAGAATTGGGGAGCTAGGCTGGACAGGAGGGTTAAGATCCAGGACACAGCAGAAAGCTCCTATTTACCACCAGAAGACAGAAGTTGCCTCGTCTAGCCCGTAACCCCTGGGACCAGCAGCCCTTCCCAGGCAAGAACTTGCCCCTTCACTCCAATCCCCCACACTCTCTCAGGGGCGGTACCTCGTTAGGATCCCAGTAACCGATCCCTCCAGTGGTTCTGATCGAGACTTCCAGTCCTCAAACGTAGCTGAGGTACCAAGGCTTCCTGCCCCGCCCACGACTTCGTCCCGCCCTTCGGACTCTAAGCCTAGAGGGCTTGAGTCACAAATGAACCCATAAGCTCGGCCCTGGCACTACTGCCACTCATCAAGCCCTTCCCCGGGTTGGTGCCATCACATCTCCGCCCTCTGCAGTGGGCGGGACAAACTTTGCCCAAGCCACACCTCCAGCTCCAGTGATTGGTGAGGAATCCTGCGAGGGGAGGAGTCCAATTGTTGGAATAGCCTAGCACTGAAACAGCTGACTTTCGAGAACCCGAACCTCCCTCCACCCAGAATCGAAACTGACTTAACCGTGGAAGCGCTCGGGGCTTGAGGGGAAGAGGTGGGACTAGAACTTCGATACTTTAGGATAGAAAGGAGAGGCTTGAGGTAAGGAGAAATAGTTGTTATTATTTATTGAGGGTAGAGAGATAAACACTTTAGGTTCTTGGTATCGTTTTTAATTTCCACCACAACCCATTCAGGTGAAAATCATTATCTCCACTTTAGAAATTTTTAAAACGAACTTCGAGAAAGAGACTACTTATTCAG